GGGGGGGAGAGGGAAGGTTCTAAGCTAATTTAATATTAAATATAATTATTTAATTTTAGATGTAAATGCATCTCCTAATTTATACCTTTAATAATTGCATATATTTTTAGCTGCTAGAAAATTAAAAAGAAAATGTATACCAATTTTTTTCCAACCTCTCATTTCTCACAGGATGGAAAGGCACATTGTTAGGAGTGTCTATGGCCACAGTGAATGCTATGGTATCTGAATATGGCTGTAACGTGAAAGATATCCTTGTGGTGCTGGGCCCATCTGTGGGACCTTGCTGCTATAAACTTCCTCATGAATCAGCAAAAGAATTTCATAGAATTGATCCAAAGTGTGTGAGACTATTTGACTCTGCAAGTCCTTATATTGATATCAGAAGAGCAACAAGGTAGGCCTCCTGAGGGAGAAAAAGACTAATTCTACATTCATTACCAATAATTATTTTGATACTGTATTATTCAGCCCTAATATGGTGAGGATTCTCAACAAAGTACTCTCTAGTTTTTTGCAGATCAAGAAAGGATACTTTTGAATGAATGGTATTTGCTCACTTTTTCTGGATTTCAGATATTATTTTATTGTTATACTGTTATATATTGTTAGTTTATGAATTACAGACAAAAGTTCAAATTTAATGTGATTTTATGGGTTACAGGAGAATAATTTTTTTAGTCTAATACTCAAAGAAAGAAACAAGAAAAGCAAATGAAAGGCCCAATCACAATATTGGCACGGTTTGGTTTGTTCAGTTGGTACTTGAGGTTTTGCCTTAACAATAGTGCCTCATGGAATGTATGTACAGAAAGTAATATTTTCTGTTTCTCTTTTTTTTTGTCAGGATTCTTCTTGAGAGAGGTGGGATCCTTCCTGAGAACATCCAAGATGACTCTATCACAGACCAGAACCAAAACATCACTTTCTGTACTGCATGCCACCCTGATAAATTTTACTCTCACTTTCGTGATGGCAATAACTTTGGGACACAGATTGGCTTCATATCAATCAAAGACTGAGAAAGTGTCTCTTTCTCTAGAACAGCATTTAAATAGTAAATCTGCTGCATTGTCTGGCATCCTGCTCTCCTCATAGAAGTTTTTCCTCCTTTCACGGATTTGCAGTAGGGAATCCATGGGTCTTGAGATTCTCCTGCTTATTTCTTTCCTTGACCTTCTGAAACAAGAATAAGTACCTGTGGTGTGGGGACAACAATTCTTGTGTGAAGCAGGGTGCAAAGGAAACAAGGACAACCCACACTAGTGGCAAAATCCTTCTATAAGACCCAGATACAAGCTCGAAGTTTATGGATTCTCCTTGACCAAAAATTTTCCAGAATCCTCACCATCTTAAGGTGGTGGAAGCCCAAAAAACGCCAGTCTTCATTAGTTTCTGGTTGAGACTGCTGAATGTCACTATGTATGACATTGCTAATACAGGAAGGGAAGCCAGTATTGCACATTACCTGTTTGAGACACCCAACTTTGATAGTTTCAGCTGAAGCCTTACAAAATTTTGTGCATGGGATTAATTTTCTTCTTTGGATTAGTTTAAAGAACTCCAAAACATTTAAAGAACTTGTCCTATGGAAAATAACTTGAAAGTGAGAAGCAAGCAGGCTCCTTTGGGGCAGACACTGAAAATATATGAACTCTCACCATTCTGTAATTTTTGGTTATAGGAAAAGTAGGACTAAAACCCTTAATTTATGATGTGTATGTCCAAGTCTCCTTAGGATTTTTTTTTTATTGAAGCAGTGGTGCTTCGATAATGTCATTGATAGTCTCAATAATGCCAAGTTTTTCACTAAATATCTAAAAAGTTCCCTTAATTTATCCCAAGTTAATTTTACTGACCAATAGCTGGATTTATGTGTCTTACTGAGCAAAGTGCTTACTTTGCACTAAGTGTGCACTGTTTGCTTTTGACCATAAAAAAAAAAAATGCCTCTAGATTTTACAATAGACGTGATGTTTTCTGACGCGCAGACAGCGAAGGATTGCTAACAGTAAAGCTGTGCTAATTGCGGCTTGAAGAGCTGCCAAGCACAAGCCTTGGGCCAGCGGCTCGCATGACGTACTTTCTATTTTGGATTCTGTGAGCTTTCTCCAGTCTGACCGCGCTGCCCACTAGAGGTCAGTGCTGGCTCGCGCTGCTTTTCCATCCTGCAGGGATGGATGGATGGATGGATGGATGGATGGATGGATGGATGGATGGATGGATGGATGGATGGATGGATGGATGGATGGATGGATGGATGGATGGATGGATGGATGGATGGATGGATGGATGGATGGATGGACGGCCAAACCATGTGGTGCAAAGCACCACACAGCACATGCTGTTACTTTTGCTTCTACAATCATCTGCCAAGTTACTCTAATATCTGTGCTTCTGGAATAATCTGTTTTCACTTTGATTTGGAGCTGACTGAATTAGATATTTCCTTGTTTTCTGGAAGAACAGACATTTTCTTAAAAACTTCCTTTTACCTGTGAATATTTCTCAGAGAAGAGCCTGGCTCTTCTCTGACTTCTTTCAGAAAACATACTTCTCTGAGTATTTTCTCTGACTGTAACCATCTATGAAAAAAATATGCTTCTGCCAACTATCTTACTTCTTCAGAAATAATATTTTTCTGCTGCTGTAGCCCTGCAGTCACTGACAATTTTCAGTTGCATTTTTAAAACCCTTCCATTGCTTTTACCATTCATTCAGCTGGCTTCAAACCAGAGGCTTGGGATCCAACAGAGGCAACACTCACACTACTCTGTTTAGAGTTGCCAAGCACATTGCTGCTCAGCAAGTGTGCATGGTATGTATTGCATGTATTATTGACTTGTTCTAAATATAGGATAGTTAAATACAGGATAGGATAATTATATGGACACTGACAGCCTTATCTTGCTGCACTAGTTAAAAAAACCCACCCAAGAGCCTACCTTCACCTTTTAGTTCTGTCCCTTTGCTCTGATTTCTATACCACTTTATGGAAGCCAACTGACATAACAGAGAGGTAAAGTACCCTTCTTGAAGCTATAGGGGCAGTAGCACTATACAGCTTTCAGTCCCTGCACCTGAAGCTCAGCCAAAGCGTGTCTGTCAGTGGTGCCCTTCACCTAACCCTCTTCCCTTGTGGATTAAGGGTATGCCATCAAAAATAGCTGAGTTACTTGGTTCTGCAAGGTACTTGACAGCTGAGGCATCATAGGGGCCCATGTGCCTGCTGTTATCCCATTTCACCTCAAAGATGGTTTTAAACTAATTCATTTATCTTTGCAGTAAGGAGAAAGATCTTGCAGTCATGCTCCTTACCACAGTTCAAATGCCTGACAGTATATTAGGTCATATTAATATGCTACTGATAGTAAGCCCTGTCTTGTTCTTATCTGCTCAAGGATTACAATAGAGATTTTATGTTTAAAAAAATACCATTTACAGGTCATGGTAGGGCTATGCAAGCTGGAGAGAACATCAGAATGAGCAGAAACATCAAAGGCTTTATCTTTTGGAAGACAAATCATTGCCACATTTGTTCTTTTTTTCCTTTTACATTAATTACATAGACTGTCAACCTTTTGAGACAGGAAACAGTCTTTTGCACATGGGTGACTGAGGTGAAAAAGTCCATGACCAATAAGAAAATATTGTAAAGTTCAGTTTCACATCAGGCTAGGCTCAATATCATAGCTTCTTTCAAAAGTCCTTGCTACAAAGGCATGGCAATCCTGGTATTAACAAAAAAAAGTTTTGAGGAAGGGCATGATAAGAAGGAGACTAGGCTGTTTCACATATCTGTTTATTTACTTTTCATTCTTGTTGTTCACTGAAGGAGGCAAGCACATCACCATGATTCAGGGCCTCTAGAGAAGCTCTCAAAATACTTCATAGATTGTTCAAGTGTACCTAACTAATTATCAGGTCCCATTTATTACCCTAATATCCATTGAATTTATAAGCTGCATTTTCTCTATTCTTGTTATTAAATAACATTAATTATGATAATGGTGTGCCCTGAGGAGAGCACACAACATGATCACATTGAATATTGGGTTTGCTAGTTGTTACTGTGCAATTAACATTTGTTACTATTGTAGATTCTCAATATGGGCCTCTTTATTTACATTATATACTTGAATGAAGTGTACTAAAACACGTCTGAGAGACTTTATTCACTGTTCCAGTAAAAGAGGGCATTTCTAGCAAGGCATTCTGCCTGGGGAAGCACTGTGAAATTTCAGAGGCACAGATCGAAGCCTGAGGTAATTAGTGAAATGTTTATCCAAATCATGCCAATTATTGTGACAGGTATGGCAAAGTGGAAAACTATTAAAGAAATGAGATTAAAAATGTTTTTAATGCATTTGTAGAGGTCAGTTCCATCAGTGACTGCTGGTCTCTGTCTACTGACAACCTGAGGAGACAGGATGGGAGCAAGGCAGTTTTGAATTTGACAGCTCCCTTTGTGACTGGCGACAAATTCAGAAGCCATGGGCCTGGATGTTCAGCAGAGCATTTGGGCACATCTTGACTCACAGAAAGTATGTAATCCCTCCCAAATTACAAGCATTCAATTACAGGAAAGCATCTCCTTTCCCAGCAGTATCATGGACTTGCAAAGTGGTCGTCTTTGCACACTTTGTTTTCCTCATGCTTATCTCTTGTGCATCACTGTATTTCTGTCCAGCACCACTCACAATTGCCCTGTGAGGTGTGAATGTGGTCACAAGCAGCTGGAAGACACAGGTGCCATTCTGCTCAGAGCAGCACCAGTGCTGCTTTCTTTGTATACTTGTGCTTTTTTTTCTTTTAGCAGCAGCATGACACTTCTTGCTCTTGGCACAATGTCTTTATCACTATCCTCCAAAACATTCCTATTTTATAGGTTTCCAAAAGAGCTACCACTTTCCAGCTTACATGGCAAATAAGTCAATATTCCTAGATTCCCTCACTGCTGTCCTCATTTCCACTCCATGTTCAATTTGCTGCTGGGCGATGCAAAGAGGGAGATGAGCTGTGCTCATTTGTCCCGAGGCCCAGAGGGGCTGCGCGTGTGCACTCGCCTTGATGTCATTTGTGTGATGCTTTTGTTCTCTGAGTACCAAAGTCCTTCCTGAACTCAGGCCTCTTGTGCAACAATATTAACAGGACAGTGCAGTGTCATGAGTAGTAAATCCTATATGTGACAGAGGAAATAGTGTACTGACCTGCTGAGGGATTTACATACCTCCAAAGACAGCAAGCTCTGCCTGTGAGGCTGGCTTGTTCCACTTTCCATTTCCAGCAGGTACTATCCAGTGCTTAAAGGTGAATGACTTGTATAGATATGTATGTGGATTTAAAAACTGTTCTGGTTGAATATATTCTTATATCCATGATGCTATTAATCATTACCCAGTGTAATGCCTTTTTATAAGATACAGAGATTTTGCTGTTGTGCTTACTTTAAATATACAGTGCCTGTGGCTGTGCTGCTAAAAAGCATGATTATGTATTTCCCAAAGGCATGCAGAGAAATAGGAAGCTAGCTTTTTTAAGTGATCCCTCTGATCTTTCATTAGTAAGCGTTTAATTTGCAGTAGCATCTTGCATTACAAATACTTGTCTGTCTGTCTTTGTCTGCAAGCTCTCAGGGCTGAGAGGAGATCCACAGAAGAATTTTGAGGGCATGATCTCCAAAGGACAGCAGGACTGAGTTCTCTCTCTTATCCTTTTACGAATGCAGCATCATGTCTCCAGGGCAACCTGAATTCTGACAGTCATGGGAGCAAGGACATGGCATGGATATTCTATTTGATTCCTGCAACTGAAAAGAGATCTGATACAAAAATCAATATGTCACTAAACTAAGAGGGTTATTTTTACAGTTAATTTTATATAAAGGTACATTTTCTCTATTCTTGTGCAAATGTAATTCAGAACTGCTAACTACTGTGTTTGTTTTGTTGATCTTTCCCCTTCTACACGTAGCAAAGGCCCAAACAAACTGAAATAAATAGGTTGCAACATAAAAATGAGGGGTGAGCCTACCATAAAACTGAGCATGCATTTTATAAGGGAGCCTGAAAACAGTGTTCATATTTCAAAATGTGTAATTTTTTGCAATATTTTTAAGCAGTGAATCATAGTTCTGGTCAATTGAAAGTGATTTTTCCAACAACAGCTGTCTGAAATAAATACCTTATCATTTCTCTTTGAGGCACTGAGCTCTATCCTAAAGCAATATTGAAGCATATGTTGCAGCTAAAGGAAAGCATTTCTGTTCTGCTTTGGTTATCTTTCTTAGAAATAGGTGAACGTGATTTTCCTACACAAGAATGAATCACAAAAAACTCAGCTGTGAAAACAAAATTGTGACAGGTAACTCAAACACTTTCAGTCAATTTTAATATGTGCTTTTAGTAAGTGCTTCATAAAACTATCATTAAAGAAAACTGGGTCATGCAGATGATTTTATTTTGACTCTGTGCTTTCTTCTTTATATCATCCCCATAAAAAGCTGCAGGACATAAAAGGTGAGTCAATCAAAAAACTCCTTAGAGAGGCTCCTTTAGGTTTGTGGATGTTTATTGTTGCATTTGATACTTGGATCTTACTCAGTCCCCTCAATTATGCTGCAACTTGGATCCATGGGTTCCCTCAGCACTGACACATTCTGGCTCACGTAACTCCATGCTAGCCATGGCAGAAACACAGATTCAGAGTCGATACTGATGTTTATGTTGTAGCTTTTGTTCAAACTATATGTTGCTGACATAAATGACATTGCAACAAAAATATGGTGTGATGATGGTGAGATATTTTGAGAAAAATCTCCTGAGCAACCCTGCATTCACTAAACGTTTTAGGGCCTAGGTTAGCAGCAATTTTTTGCTTTTAATGAGACTGGGAAAGTTCAAGATAGTTCTGCACTCTCCTTATCTAGTAGATGTGTTCATCAGAGTGACATAGTTTGGGTTTTAGAATCTTGTCCCATGTACAATTATATTTCTCTAATTTCCTTTAATAATGGCTTCTTGAGAAGGGACTGACTGTGTGTATATTGGCTAAGAAGTGCAAACTTCAGCTGACCCCTCTTCATTAGTTTATATTACTATTTAACATAAAAGTCTGTTAGAAAATACAGGCACAACAAAATGGGAAAGTTGGACTGCTCAAACTAAATGTTCTTTTAGGAGAAAAAGATTTAGACAAAGCTAGTTTCAACATCTTCAGGATGACAGATTTCAATACAACTTTTGAAGCAGCTCTTATTTCCTACTTTGAATATTAGGAGTAATCTGAAATAAACTTTAAAATTGAAGAAGTGCCATTGCAAATTAAAACAAATATTAAAATCTCAATTTATGCTGAAAAGAGCCCATCTTCCACAGACCTCATCTTATTATTTATGTATATTTATCTGCATGAACCAGTCCTCTTATTTCTTCAATAAATATTTCCTTCATAGATTGTAGATTGTTATATTCCCTTTAATAAATGTTTAGCTAAGTTTTACATACAACATTTAGCTCCATTAGTCTTTCCTAAGATGACCCTTCAGCTCCTAGTTCTCCAGATTCTGCCTTATTAATGTCAATTAGGTGTTCATCAGTTTTCACTTACATGCACTTTTAGAAGGAGAGTGACATTTGAACTTTGTACAGAGACTTGTTTTTTGTTGTTTTTTTTTTTCTGATAGGCTTTCAAAGTGGTGCTTTTAGATACAAAAAAAAAAAAAAAAAAAAGCTTAAAACAGTCTTAATTGAATGACCTTGGTTTCCCTCTCTTCCCTATTTTCCAAAAGAGTCATAACCTATTGCACTTCAATTTGGATTTATTTTAGGCTTCCCAGCTATAACTCATAATTCATCACATTGTTCCAGAAACAATCTTCATGAAGGAGGCTCAACCCAGAAAGTGAAAAATAGTTGTTATTTTTGAGGCTGACACGGAATTTATGGTAGGAGAGCATTTATAACTTAAGCAAAAACTTTTTAAGTATCTGAGGTTGAAAAGCTGATACTAGGAAACTAAAATAATATGGAAATAACTTCACAGTTTTGCAGGGAGAAAAAATATCCATACGTGCGACACTGAAAATTCATTCCTTGAATTATATTCACATCAGGACTGGATGCCTTTATACATACTCATTTATCCCTAGCAAACTGGGAAGAGGCTAGAAGGAAAGAATGATGTTGTTTTCCCACTCTAATAAATTATAGGAGAAAAGAGGTATACAGCAGCAATCCTTTTAGCAAGTGAGTTAAAGAATGCACCGGCTAATGATGAACCACTTTCTATGGAGCCAATATCTGAGACTGAAAAAGCAGCCAGTCACTCCCTGGCTCTGCAGCAGCCTCAGTTATACACAAACAGAAGCAGGGAACAAAAATCTCATTTGGGATGCAGCTAGCCTGAAACAGATATCCATGGTGAGACACTCTTGGATACAAGAAGCAGAAAAAAGACAGCATCATGATGATAAAGACATTTCTACACCTGCCTATTAAAGATTTAGTGCAAGAAGAATTTATCGATGTGGAAACATGGCCCCTACCTTATTGTCTGAGCAGAGAGTGGTTCTGCCAAGCATCTTCCTGTGGGTCACTAATCACCACAGTTGCTAAAGCTATTGAGGCTTCTTCGTGTGGTAGAATTCTTCCCCAGAACCTGGAAGGGTTGGAGTATTGAATTCTTATAGATTTATTTCAGTTCTCCTCTTTCTTCATCCCTAATTCAAACCCTGCTACAGGCATACCATGCACTCACAAGCTTCCAATCCATGCAGGCAGGGAGAGGACCACAGTTAATTGTGGGAGGCAGATTAAGATAACTGTCTGTATTATCTGCATGCAGGACTCTGGGACCTTGCTGGGGCCAGAATAATTGCAATGAAGGGCAAATCTGCCCTTGCCCACTGCAGCTGTATTTCTGAACTGAAAATGTGGAAGAGAAGCTGCTTTCTGATATTTCAGTCAGCTTGGCTAACAGCCCAATTTGGCAGACTTGGAAGATTTTCTATCATAATGTTTCTCTGAAGTAAGCTTTAAGAATAAATGGCATAATTTATGTTTGGCTCAAGAGATGAGAGTCTAAATTTTGAAGAATCTTTTCTTGTTTGTTATGGAACAAATCCCAAACTTATTGCTTAGAAGTCCAGACACCCTGCTGCTATGAGGCCCCATCTGAACATCTTGAGTAAAGGGGGCAAGTACTCTCTTGTGTGAATACTTGCTAACATTTCTAATCTCAGCTATATTAATTACTGTGGCAGAAGTTATTTCACAATGGACAAGGCAGATCGACCTCCTGATCAGTCCTAGAAGGACAAGGGGGATAAATACTGTGAAACTACTCCTTATTTGCATGGCAGCCACTTAAGACTCTGGGCAAGGCTTCAGGCCTGAGAAAAGGTAGATCATGAAGAGAAATAACCCTGTTATCTTGGGTTCTGATAGAAACATGTGGAATTGGCAAGGTTGATCTTTTGTACCTTATCCACTGTATATTTTGCTTCAGTTTGTGCAGTACAAAGTTACCAAAGTACCATCTTGAGCACTACTGGTTTTGAAGCAATAAACATTTCTGCATCTTTTGTCTGTTCTTGATCCTGCCTAGCTCAGCCATATTGGTAGTAGTAGGTTCAAGATTTTGAGTGGTGAGTTTAATATGTATTCCACACTTCTCATAAGAAAGCCATAAGGAAAAACTTGTAATCTGTGAATTTGTGGTGGTTTTATTCTCCTTCCTGGGCGATGCCACTGCCAGAGACAGCAATGCCGGTAGCACAGCTCACAAGATGAGCAACTCTACAGACAGTGCACAGAGATCTCAAGGGTCTAGCTATTTAAGATCTACAGACCAAGAGGCATGTAGGATTGTGTCACATTTCCAGGCCCTGAAAACACCATCCCATAATTTCAGAGCCATGAGACATATACCAGAGGCTCTCAGATCTGAGGAAGGAGAAGGGGAGATTTCTAGGAGATGCTCAAAGAATGGAAATCCCATGGCTTTTCCTACTATGTGTTTCAGGGGCATCTGCAGCAGGGTTTGCGTTTGTCATGGAGCACCCCAAATGCACAGCATCTACAATGAAAAAACAGTGCCTTTTCATGAGTTTTTGGAGACAGAGTTGGTTTTGGCACTGTGCTGTAATAACTTGTGACCCTCATGGTCTCAAAAGTCATAACTGTCTACTTTTGGATGCTGTAATGTTCTTCCACAATTTTAGACTGGCTATGGATTCTGTTAGAAGGCTCACTGTGTGAAAGTGAATGCTTTTCTACATGGTAGGGATATCAGAATTCTCAAATTTTGAATATGCAGTTTCTACAGACCAACTCAGAAAAATTTGAACAGTGTCCTGCTTCCTGCCTTGTACATTGTGGGAGGCAACGTTTTAACTCTTGCTTATTTTGTAGTGACCAGAGGTAACATTTGAAATTGCTGTAGCATTTCTACTTCTGTTTGCAGATTGCAGATTTCATAGGTGTGTTTTGAATTGGATGATATTTAAAATTTTCAGCTTTGAGGACTGATCATGAGAAAATGTTTTGTGGATGTTATGTTTGTGTTTTAAATTACTGATCAGCTGTGATTAACCTGATTAGTCCTTTGACTGGAGGAGTGTGAATCACCTTCCCTCAGGTATAGCTGCTTGGGAACTGAAAGTGTATTTTATGGACACAAGTTCAAAGTCCTCATGATAGGCTTTACAAGTGCCAGCAAAAAATGAATAAAACTTGTGAAAACAAGAATGTGAACTGTAAAATCACTACCAAAGAGAGTGTGTTTAAATATTGAAGTGAACAATCCCAGATAGTTTGGAGCGAAAAATTTGCTTTGTTTATAGGGAGCACAACATCCCCAAAAAAATACGGGAGGATGGAGTGTTGTTAGCCAAAAGCCAATCTGCCATGGCCTCTCTCTTGTTTCATTTAATTCATTTAATGATGTGCATTGTAGTCTTCTTTCTCCATTATCTAGTATTAACTTCTAATTTTTTTTCATCATATTGGATATAAACTGAGATGATACTGTTTTCTGGTGGTGATGATGACAGTGCTATTCAAGCCTACCACTCTGGGAACTAGACCTGGGTTTTGAAGGACTCTCTGTGAACTGGACCTGGAAAACATGCTTTCATCAGTCTGTAGGGGGATATCTTAAAGAGGCCAAACTCTACTCCATACTGATTAACAAAGAAATTACTCCAGAATGAAAACAAGCATGAGTACTTTTGCGAAAGAATATGGTGGTAGGATCAATATATGAAATTCATACATAGAAAATATTTTGACCATGATCACAGAGTTATAGGCAGAAAATGTGAAATGTAGCAATGAAGTTGAAGGTCTCCAGTATCTCAGAAGAGATTGTTTTGCGCTTGAGAACATGAAGACAAGTCCAGGAAGAAAGATTCTTGGAATTCAGAGGAAATCCTGACACATACAGATTTCTCTGCTGTT